TAAAAAATTTAATTTTAATAAAAGTATAGCTCATAGACAATAAAACAACCTAAGATTTAACAGGAAACTGTCAACCTAAGGAACAATTATTATGTCTGAAACACTGTAATATATAAAACAGCACTGTAATATATAAAATGCATGGGTTACGAGAATAAGAGCAAAATTCGTATGGAGAGAAAAATAAACTAATGGCATTGAAGAGTCTAGATAATGAGTTACATGTATTAAGAGTGAAAAATACAGAGTTTTAAATAATTAGAAAAATTATGATGGCTGGGAAAGGCAAAGATGATCCAACATAAGAATTACTGCTTTCTCTGAACAAAAGATTTCAACATGAAACTGAAAGATACTGAATGAGGTAATAGAAAAAATGTCCCTGAAATGAAAGAAGGGAAATGGCAAAAATATATCCGGGATTCAGGCGGATCACTCGTGTCATCAAAAGAGAAAAACGCCGGCCTGCTGTCAGAAGTGTCCTGGCAATAGTCAAGCGACAGTCCATCAGAGCAATGAGCTACACAGGAAAGGTGGGGATGAGCCGTGAACGATACTCCCAGGAAAGAAAAAGGGCGACAATAGTCAGACACCTTTGCCATGAGATAGTTCAAGGATTAACAAACGAAATGAATTAGCAATGAAATACAATGAAGGAAAGAAAAAAAAAAAAAAAAAACAAAAAAAAAAAAAAACAAAAAAAAAGGAAGAAATTTTAAAAAGAAAAAAATAAAAAAAAAAAAAAAAAAAAATAAAAACAAAAAAAAAAAAAAAATAAAAATACAAAAAAAAAAAAAAAAAAAAAAAAATAAAAAAAAAATAAAAAAAAAAAAATAAAAAAAAAAAAAAGAAAGTAAAGAGGATGAAGACAAATTGGAGAGGAGCTAATCATCTCGAATTGCACTGCAGGGAGTTAACAAACATTGTGTGAAATTAAAATACGGAGCTAATGCATCTAGCTTAACGGTATTCGTGATCTTTTATCGTTAACCTTAAAGACACTTACAAAAGTACTTGTGGTGAAGAAATATGTAAGCTCAACAATTCTATTTATTTCAGATCATTTTTCTTCTATTAAGTTACGTATAATGTATTAGTTATAAATAGCAGAATATGTCTCTATGCTTATCCTTCCATTTGTACAGATGTATAATTATATAATTGTGATTATGTTCATCATATGTTAATTTTTTCTGAGTGTAAAGAGTCAGGGATGATCTGTTTTTTAAACTTGAATAAGACAGTACAGTAACATAAATTTCACCTGAATTAACCATTAAATGTAAAATGATAATGATAATAATGATAATAAAGTGCTTATAGAAGCCTATCAATATGTTTGTATGAACTGGTTTGCATGGGATGAAGAAACCTGCATAAAGGATATTTGTATAACCAGGAAAGAGGTTTCCTGTATTTGCTTGGCCCCATGGTTTTGTGTCTGACCTCTATAAAGAATTAAACACCCAAGGTCAAAAACTGGCAATAACCAAGAACTGAGCTAGTATCACAGCTTTGAAGCAAAGTGGAATAACCAGGCATGAAGGGGAAAGCAGAGCCTGACTCCCAGCTCTGCTAAACACAGGAGTCCTAAGAACTCAAGTACCTTTGCTTTGCAGTAGAATTATTGGAATTGGAATTGGGATTAATCTGGAAGCAGTTCTCCTGACACAGCTATCGGTCTGTCATGCAGAATGCTGGAATCAGAGACAGGGGTGAGGTACCACCCTCACTAAGGATCCCTGAATGGGAAAAAATGAACAAGAGAGCTGTTCTGCTAATATCAGATGAAGTCAGGTAATACTTAAAGTCCAGAGAACTGCATGATGCAAATATTCCTGTTAAGAATCAGGGAAATGTAGCTAATTTAACTACTTCAGGATTTTGGACTCAAGAAACTTTGGGAAACATATTCTAATTAATTTTAAAAAGCCTGATGATTACGTCCTAATTTCCTGATATTTCAAAAATTTTGACCTAATACTACAGCATGTACATTGTGGATCGATTCAGAATGTCAGCAATGCTATCATTTATGTAAAGGTAGTCCAAGTCCCATATACTTCATGTTTCCCCTCGAAAAAAACTATATATACTTAACCACACAAATGTTAGGTGAGTACTTATTCCCTGAAGATAATGTTAATGTTGAGGCATGCATTGCATTTTAAAATAATTCAAACATAGGATACAATGTTTTTCTGTGTACAGATAAGATGAACTACTTAGATTTTTTTTAAAGCATGAAGAAGAGAGTAAACTGTGCAGAATAATAATAGAACTTTAAAAATCTGTATTTAAATTTTATTTTAAATTTGCAAAAATGTGTGACGGAAGGGAATCAGTTAGCTTGTAGAACAGGAGCAGTCCATGGTTTATTAGGTTAGGAGACTAGATGTGTGTGTCTGTGGGCAACTGAATTTTTTGATCAACAGAAATCTATTACCCTTTCATGTGTAGGAATAATTACCTATGTAACCAGAGAATAACTTTAAGAAAATGCTGTATTTCAGAAGGAAATAACGGTTAAGTATAAAGAGGAAAATCCACTGGCACTAATGCAGGAAAACACACACACACACACACACACATCAAAATTGCAAGAAGAAAAATGAGCACAAGTATAAATTGCTGTACAGAGTAGTAGTATTTTTTTCAGCTTAATTGAGTCTTAAGAAATAACTTTGAATTTAATGGATTTCCTTATCTTAGACCTGTAGGAATTTCAATATTTTATTATGAAAATATTTGAACACAGGAAAATGTGTGGAAACATTGAAATGTATGACAGAATTTTTTAGATGTAATTTTTACTAGTATTACCAAAATATTGTATTCTTTCTTAATTTAAGAATGAAGTATTTTGATAAATTTCTTACCAAATTCACTTTATTAATGAGAAAACTAAGGTTCAGGAAAACTGTGGCTGGGTTTTAAACCATGACTAGATTTATGACAGAGAGAAACAACTGCATGCCTTCATGAATAAAAGAATTCTAATGTGGGAACTACTTATAAAAGATAAATTTTTCTCTATTTTGAAAATTTATTGTAGTAGTATATGTGTAAAGAAATTTTTAAGGAATAAATGAATCTCCTTTTTCTCTCCTCAAACCAAGCCACCTGTCTAATTGCAGATGGAAATGCTCCATCTGCCTGTGCGGTCTCGTGCTCCACAGTTACTGGGACGTAAGTGCAAATGAGAGGAGAAGCGGCAAGGACAAGCAGCGGGACTGGGATGCAAACAGAACACATGGATTTCAATGGCTACAGTGTGTTTCGGAAATGCTGTGAACTTGAGGTTGCAGACCTTCCCAGGGGTAAGGGTTAGGAAGCCTGACTGCCACCACTTCATTAATGCTATAAAATCAGTGGACTCTTCATTATTTTGTCCATACATACATGGAATGAACATACACCCCAGTGGACATACATTCCAATTGCCCAGGAAAACCCTAGTTTATGCCTGTTGCTATAGTCTCAGAAATGTTCCAGCTGGAAGGTAAATTCTATGACTCACTTTCTAGCAAAGGACTTGGTCTCTCTTTAAGTTGTGTTTCCGGGCACCCACTCCAAATTCATCTAAGTGGCACAGAAGATAAATGACACTTGCCATCCTGGACTTAGTGATAGGATGTATTTTCCAAGAAGTTCCTGCCTATGATTATTTTCATCTTCTTCCTATGTTAAGTAATTTCTTGATTTCCACATATAAGTTTTCATTTCTTTAAATATTAAACTGCTTAATAAAGCCATACACAAGAACAAGTAAGTAAATGAGTGGTAGTGACTTCCACTCAGAGGGAAGACACTAATTTGTGTGTGTATGTTATTTTTTCAGTTTTCATAAACTTAGAAACATCAAACTTTTTATTTTAAGTTTAATCAGTGTTTATAGTTTAATCATGTCAACTCAGGTGTTCATGCATGTATCTATTATGTTATTCATCTGACCAAAATTCAGAAAATAATTTCTATATAAAATTTCTAGGACTAAAAAGAAACAGTCAATTTAGTATGTATTAGTGAAGCTCAGTAGGTCTAACAGAATAAAATTTAAAGTTAATGTAATGTAGCCTAACTAGAAGTTTTATGAAAAGGAATCCTCTTTCTGTTTTCACTCTGATATATAAGAGAAAAAATACCTTTGAAGCACGTTATCAAATTATGATTTATTAGGCAACCCATTCACTTATACATTGGTAATACTAAAAATGATTCTTCTCTAAAATAGAGTTACATGTTTATAAAATAAGGTTAACAATCTTTCCACATATTATATAGTAACAAACTTTGCATTCTTTCAATCTCAATAAATGTACTTCCACACATACACACATATCCCAGGAAAATACCTAACAGATTTGAAAGATTCTAGTTAGATTTTGATGTGCCTAAGAACTTAAGTGTGTTACTTAAGCCAAAATGAACCATATCTAAGCTATACTCTTTACTTTTAGCATACTGATAAGTCGTAAAACACACATAGCACACACACATTTAAAAGGATAAATACTCTTAGTTATTTTAAATATCGTATATCCAGAAATAAATTTAACTTCTATACTAAGATGCTTTGTCAACTCTTATAGAAAGTGCATGTCCATTAAAGCTAAAAAGATTTATATTAAATTCAAATAATTTATTCAAATCACTGCTTCCTACAAAAATTACCCAAGATGTACCAAATGCCCCTTTTGGAATTACTATATGTATCTTTAACTTGATTGAAAGCAGAGAGGCACATTTTACAGACTAACACAAACAGCACTGCAGTTTAATTCTAAATAGTTCTCTAATGCATCAGTTTAAAACTAACCTCCTCCACCAGTTTTTCAAGTGTTTCAATTTTTTTCCCCTTTGGTTTCTTTACATAAGTCTTTATCGTAAGGAAACTGAATGCATATTGAAGAGGTAAGGGGCTTCTATCCCCCTAGTTCAAGCTAAAACATACCCTCTCGATTATCTTTCACAGTAAAGCCAAAGCCGGTATCACATACCTTTCGGGAATGAATTTCTTTCACATACAATGGAAGTAGAAACTCAGATATACCTTCAAGTCGGATTCCCTTCTTGGTGACTCTCAGATTTCCCATACCATCCTACAAGCAATGAAATATAGTTCACTTTTAGGTTAATTAAGGAATGAAAAATTGGCCATAATTTTCTAAGGCCTAACTTGAGAAAACAGTGAGTTAAAAGCAGTGATGATTTAAGGGAAATGGGAGATTGGATTTACTTAATGATTCACTGCAGCAGTTTGCATGCATATAGAGGGCTCTTTTTAAAATGAACAGGAAAAGAGGTGTGTAAAGGACCTCGTATCTTTTCTCAGCACTATCAGAGACTAGGATTTATCTCTGAATAAATCCTGTACTTCATGCATCAGCTGGCTGAACTATTTATTAGGTATAATGATACTTGCTACCTGACTTGTGATAGGAAGTTTTTTTGCAGAGATACAATAATATTTTTACATTACAGATATATGCATATTTCTACAATATTCAAATAGTCCCACTTGTACATTAATTCTAACAAGTACTTAATGATTGGCTATACAAGTAAGCATGGTGTTTCAGTATTCAAACCATGAGCAAACCTTATGTTCTCTCATTTAGAAAACAACCCTCTTTAAGGAGGGTAAATCAAGTTAAGTACACAAATAATGTTTATGAGACAGAATAAAACAAATAAAAAGGTAAGAGTATTAATGAGAATTAAAGAAAGATTTCAAATCTGGTAAGAGAGTAAACCATTTCTCATGGAAGAGATGGACTCTTACATAGGCCTAAAGAATACCAAGTTTCAACAGGACGTGTCCATAGAGGGAGCAACAAAATGAACATTCTGATAACACAGGGAGATGGCATGCCATCTAATCTGGCTAACAGAATATTGAGAGAGAGAAAAAGGGAGTATTTTGAGGCTAGGAAAAAGAAAGCTGTGAGTGCAGAATTATGGATCCTGTATTTAGGTAAACCTCCAAGAGAGCTCCATGAAAGTTCTTGAAGAGTTCAATGACTTGAAACGATCACAGTTAAAGATTAATATGGCAGACATTCCATGACAAGAATCTCAGTAATAATGGACAACATAGCAGTAAGTGTGAAGATAGTGAAAAGAGGGGCATTTACAATTAATCCAAGGTTTCACAACTATAACTAATAAGAAAATACAGTTATTTCTTATAATGGGATAGAGAAACTTGTAGGCTTGATGGCACCAATAAGTTCAGCTTTGGACTTTCTAACTTTGAGGTATCAATGATACTTTCAGACATTGATCTAACAACCAGCAAGTCTGTTGAAAGTGGTTTGAGCACTGACAATTGCTTAAGGTAAGCTTGAATCTATCATGGTGGATGAGCAAGTCCTCTGCTAGGTATCTAAATAACTATCTAAAATAAATATCTAAAACCATGGAGAAACTCTTACATAACGATTAGGTCTGTGTTGGAAATAAGCATTTCATATGTTCTAGGAAGCTGTAATCAGTATGAGGAAAGCCAAGAAATTATGATGGCCTCAGCCTCTATCCCTGCCCTTCGAACCCATAAAGAAAGCCAACAGGGCAGTACAACCATAAACAGAATTCTGAGTATGAATTGAAGATCTTTTTTTTTCATGTCAGATAGAGAAAATGACTACTACTACAAGAGAGAAAGATTTTGAGGGGGTGAGGTCTCACTCTTCTTATGGAAAGAGAAAGTTACGGATTCTGGTTGATTAAATTTAGGATGAGATGAAGAAATTCAATTTGTGAGGCTCAGACTTAAAGCTGACCCCAGGCATGTTATATAGGAAATAAACTGAAATTAAAAAAATAAATATGAGAATTTCAAGCATCACTGAAAACTTACTCTCACGAGAAAATAGCTCTACTTTGTTGGGATGGTGACACACCATGGTTGTTCCCTTGATTTACAACAGTTTTATAATGCTCTCTTTCATTTGCAGAAGTGAAAAGTGTCTCTCATTTAGACATTCGTTATATGGGCACCCATCTACTGGCTCTAATCAATATGGTTTTGCAACATTATATCTAGGAACAGAAACAGGCAGACTTAACAGTGAAAGAGCCTCAAACGAGGATTTGCTAGGCAGGAATGGCAGAAGTCATGATGACGGGTTATTCAAAAGCAACAAAAGATGACGGGCCTCAAATGGCTTGCCACTATTTTTCTCATTGGGTAGAGACAAGTGAAACCATAACAGTAATGTGGGGCTGTAAAAATAGCCTCGAGTCAAAGAATGACAATTGATAATAAATTCATGATCAAGTTTACTATAAGTTAAGAAACATGAGAAATATTACAACAGGCATTTTATCAGAAGATGGAACTTCCAATTTTGAGACCTCGAAGGTGAGAAAAATCTCAGACATGGTAAGGCCTGAAGAATAGCCAGGCAGCGTGCGAGAAGTAGCTCGGAGACTGAACTCCCTATGAAGAAAGCCAGGGTATTAGAACATGTAAAGTGACACGGGGCTTTAAAATATGGTTTTGTCTTAGAGGGATGTTCTTGACTAATTCTCACAGTGACTGCCCATATATATTCTCGAATGCCAGGGAAGGAAGAATTCTGATGTGTTCCCCCTGGAGTTGCTATGGAAACAGCTAATGCAACTGTTAGACTTAACTTAGTGCAATAGAAACTAATTCCATCACAGATGCAATTTCCAGTTCAATAGTAATCTTGAAGAATTTTTTCGTGAGATAAATTTAGAAATGAAAGAACTGCATATAGCTAAAGTTAAATATGCAAATTTAATTTTGGAAAGTTTTGATTCTTAAGCTTAGTTCTCTGCTTATATTTTCTATATGACACATACTTTGGGGCATATAAATAATTACATTTCATTTAAATTAGATGAAACAGAATCACCCTGTATTTTATACAGGGCTGTTATTACAGTACTATGTTTTGAATCTGACCTTTTTGTACCATGTCCATTTGATCCTTGTTTTATTTCTATTTTGTATTAAAAAATAAAATTGTAAGTTGTTCTATATTATCTACATGCAGTTAAAAAATACCTAAAGCATATATTCAACCTGATCCTCACATTCATGTACCAAGTCCACTAATAATTTATTAGATAATGAAATAATCTGGTTTCCCTTCTGCAAAAGCATTAAAAAGAGAATCTATTTCTACTGTCACTATACTTGCCTGATTTCACTCTACTCTTGTTCCTTTCAACATCTAAAAGGGGGAAAATAATTTCTGGATTTTCTGTTATGGATCACGTGGCCCAAACACGAAGAGAGTGACACAAACTAACCTGTCTGTGGTCCAGGCCCCCGTCTTGGCTCTGCCACCTTCTTTCTTGGACCACATAACAAATCTCTTTGTGTTTTAATTTTGTCATTTGTAAAAAGAGTAACAGGACTTACATATTTATTGAAATGATTACATGAGGCTGTAAAGAGCTTAAAATAATGCCTCACATGCAGAGTCCTCGACAGTTTCAAGCATTAACATTTTATTTAAAATAATTTAAAATTTTGTCTAATATTATTATAAAAATTCATTGTTTATTTTTGGAGGGATTGGCATTGCACTTCAGTAAACTCTACATCAAGCTCCATTATCATTACAGTTACGAAGCTTTTCATCAACTAGCAATCTCACAAATCATTTACCTACTTTTGATGTCCAGCACATTGTCGTTTTAGAAGGGAATGTGGAGCCAGATAGCTTGGATTTGAAACTTGACTATTTACTAACTGTTGACTGTCACATCTTTCATTGATCTAAATCTAAACTCATTTTCTATGGACATTAGAAAATTATAGCATTCCTCAGAGGGATGTTGTAGTAACTTAATGACATAGTGAATGAATTTTTTTTTACCGAATCTGGCACATTTTTGGTAATTATTACTTGACTTGTACTTAAAATCAATACTTAAATATCAAATACAATTAATGTTTAATCAACACACATTTTTAAATCAAGCTCTCCCATTTTCATTCATCCTTTCCATTCCTAATGGATCTGTTGAAGTTCAAGACCCACTTCATCTCTAACTTGGCAAATTCTTCCTGTTCTTAGAGTATAAATTCATGTTTACAGTTACTTTACTGAATTACTGTTTATCTTTGCTCAAAACCCCACAAACTCGGCCCTTGGATTATAGATTTATGTCATTTACTTTCAATATTTAGTGTGCTTTCTAAATTATCCATTATGACCATTATCATTTTCATGTTGACAAGAAATACAAGTCTTCTACTATAGCCCCACCTTCTTTAGAATGATTTACAAGACCCTGTAAGCATCCTCAAGCAATCCTTCGTTTTTCATATTTTTGCTCTTTTCTCATCACTCCACTTCATTTTCACTAAACTGCATTGCTAACATTTCTCAGAAAACTTCTCTGTTTTACCATTTAAAATTATTGAGTCACATATTTTATCTGTACGAACTCATCTTCACACCCATGTCTCCTCAATACTCTTTTCATCATTCAAAGCCTAGTCTAAAAAAAGCCATAGTTGGTATCTCAGAAACAACATTTCTCTCTACTCTGTATTTCCCAAATGCTCTATTTGTATATTTCTATCTCATCTTAATAGTATCTGATCTTATTATCTATGCACTTATTCCCTCTTCTGACATAAGTCTTCCAACAGTGGTTTTTACAAAGTATGTAGTATTTAAGTGCCTGATTATTTAATTGGTCAGTAGAATTTAGGTCTTTACTTGATAAAAAATGAAGCAAAAAATTAAATTGAGACCCTTGGAAAAATCATGCTATCAACAAAATTTACAGAATTTGCCTTCAGAAACTGCAACAATCTCTGATCTTGGCTTACTCTGTCCTCACTGACAAGGTTCTTCATTATCTCTAGCTTTCTGGTATTAGAAGAGCTATTCAGATGGTGGCTACCCTCAGGATTTCAATTACCCCTTAACAGGCAAATGTAATTGCGAAAGTAATGAGCATGTTGACATGGAACTGAAGACATTTTTTAAATTTGATTTGCTTATTAGGTAATATAGAAAATCTGGTGCATGATTAATTACTACTGAAAATTAAAAGGAAATTGAAAGACTCCAGAAGCAAGAAGATACCGATTTCAGACATATTTTCT